CTTGGCTATCAAAGAAAATAATAATAGTCAATCATTAATATATAACCAACTTTAAAAAAAAAAATTTTTTTGATAATTTTACCTCAAACCAATGCTTTAATAAATCGAATGTAATTTCCAAATGGTTTTTTTCAAGTTTAATAAAAGATGGCACCAGCAAGTAAAAGATTTTTGCAATTTGAATGTTTATATGAAGATACTCGGTATTGTCATATAAACTTGTTTCTGATAATTTATACCATTCAATTATACTATTGAATAACTTTAAAACATATTCATCTGGCAAGAAAATATAATCATTGCTCTTTGGTCCAGATATTATTAGGAGAGAGATATAATTCCATCCTATTTTTCATATAAATAAATAAATAAGTAAGTAAGAGTCTACTAGTAAATTTTATCTTTTGGAAAATCTGAAATTCAAAGAATTTTTAAAATCTACCTTCTTTTGGTGATGACGATGATGACGATACAACTTTTGGGAATCTTTCGTTGATATCTAGTCTACATAATTTATTTACTAAATCAATTTTAAATGCTTCAAAATATTCGGATCCTTTGATGTATTGTTCTAACGAATCAATAAATGCCAGCTTGATTTCCAAATTAACTATATAAAATATAATAAATTATTAGCAAATATTATAGTTTACGTAATAAAAAAATATAATAATATTTACATGAACAAGATTCAGATTTTAAATTATTTAGAAAACCATCTATGTTAACAATTGTTAATTTTCCATGTCTGAGTGCTTCAGACAAGAAGACTCTTAGCACCCTTGCCCAATAAAGTAAATGATTGCTACTTGATCGATTTATAGCATCAACGATTAATGAATACAAATTGAAAATTTTATCGTCATTCGTAATCTCATTACTGATCATAATATTATCAAAAATTTTATTTAAATCAAAGATTCCACCATGAGTTTTTATTTACCTGATTTATTTATATAATTGATCAATTGTTTTTTTACCATGTAGATTTCAAAAATAATCATTTCAATGAATTTATATGATGAACAATATAATGTTTATTTGATTGATCTTTCAAAAAGCCTATTAGATAAAGACCTTGATTATAACACTAGAACTGGTGTTGAGGAACTTTTATATGACACATTTTCATCAAAAGGTTTGCTTCAATAATTTCTAAAATATGCTCAAATAAATAAATAATTATTAACTCTTATTAAAAAATTTTTTGAAGTTAATATAATTTCAAAGCAAACAAAAATAGAAATTTTCAGTCTATTTTCAAAAGCCACTGCTGATTTCACAGAATCTTATTTTATTACAAG